CATATATATATATATATATATATACTAATCTGTGTATAGTACAGTATATATAGTTTAAATAGAATCAAATAGATTCGAAAACTACAGTAACGTAGTTAGTTGGCGAAGTGACTCTCTCAAGTTTACATATTTGGGTGAAATGCAGTAGTTAGTATATGCAAAGTGATTGAATGTTTCGCACAGTGTGGAATTTGAATCCGATGCGTCAATACCGATTTACGATTCGTTCGTATGCGCTTAATTTGGTGTATTATTGTACCATGAACTTGAAATCTTGTGTGCAGGACACACTTTTGGTTGCCTTCAACCAACTACATCACTGGCAGCAAGCAGCCCATACATATACTAGTAATTTGTATGTGGTCAAAGAGAGACTTGCAACCACAATAATAATGCCTACTAGTACAACTAAGGTACATATTACGCCCACTAAAGCATTCTGTACTGATATTACCACAACTGACCTGGAACCGTTGTTAAGTGTTCACTCCTTTGGCGAACGCTGTGGATACACTGTATAACAAGTAGGTGTTGCTGGATTTATAGAACAAAAATCGTTGATTGGCTAATTTGTTGGCGTTATTCCAAAAATAATGAAAATGCAATTAATCAGAGTATCCGGATAAACAATAAGATTATCCGACGATATGTGAGCCAATCATTTCGTTTCATCGGTCCTTGAACATAATACTCTTATCATGGCGGGGCAACTGCAGTGGCGCCAAGTCGAGACACACGCGACGGCTATCCGCGCTGAAAAGACACAGGACACTTCCTCAGTGTCATATTTGACGGGAGAAGAGCTCATCCGACAGATATGCGTGCGTATGCGAGTCCGGTCCTTCGACGACTTGAATGTCGGCCCGCCGCACGCGTTTGCTCCAATCCGGCAAGTCTTGGACCTCGAGCACGACCTGTGGGAGTTTGTCGGGATGTATGTGTCCCTTCGCTCCATCTCGACCGTTCACGACGCAGAGTTGGAGTTCCTAGTCAAGCGCGGCGTCCCTTCCTTCGCAGCCCTGGGGCTTGGGAACTCGTTTGCTGCATCTCCCGCCGTGGCATATTACTTCAATCTCCCCAGAGCAACCACGACAGTCCTTCCGCTCACGACAAAAGCGGTACTTTCCCATCTCGGCGAGTTTCGGTTCCTCAACCAACGATACCAAGACACGGGCGCATTTCTATCGTTTTTAACGTCCAAGCTCGCCGCGCCACGCGGCACCGTCCTCGGCGTCCACGTGCAGAACCTGCAGCGCAGCATGGACCTCATGCGACGGTACGTCTATCCCTGGCCATGTCCATCGATCTCATACATGTCGTTGTAGGATCCAAGTCGAAGAACGCAAGCAACTGAACGACATTGAAAATGATTTCCGCCGCGACGTGGCGCACTCGGTGTTTCAGCTCACGAAAGAGAAATTCAGTGCCGAGAACCGGGAAAAAGCCGTCGCAGCCGCGGTCGCGTCGAGCCAGCTGGACCTCCCGCGGGGGGAGCAAAAGGCGAACGTGTCGGTGAAGCTCGAAAGCGATATCCTCACGCGGGTCACCGTGCTGGACGCGCATCTGGACCACCTTATCGGCCGCTACAGCCACCGACTGCCCAAAGATACGTCCAGTGTCATCTCCAAACAGGTACGATACTTCATTCTGACTTGGTGAGAACACATCCAACACGATATGTTTATTGTACTGAATTCTATAGTTTACATCCAGTCTGGCAACCTGAAAAATATTACAATATATCTCCATTTTGGGGCCAAATTCAAGAAATCTGATCAAAATATTCGCATGATATTGGGCAATTTAGTGTGGATTTATAGAATATTCTCATGATGTATTTTAGGATCTAAAGTTGAGGGCTACAGTGTGCCATAAAAAGCACGAGCGCAGTCGGTCCACGGTCGTGTCGTGGGTATTGTGCAGCATCATCGCCAAGTCTCGCGTCTTGCTCGATGCCAAGCGACTCGCCCCCGAGGTAATTTATCCCACCAAATATACAAAACCAAGTGGAAAACACATATACTAGTATATATTTATATATATGGTCAAATATTTGAAATATCGCATGTGTGTTTTGCTATTATTGTGGTATATTTGATACGAAATTCCAGACCCCGTCGAATCGAATGATCTCGCCGCCGAATCGAATCACGAATCGACGCTATTGGCTAATTTTGAGTGGATTTGATTGGCTCGAAAGGACAAGTATATTCAACCAATCAGAATTCGAGCGTGATTCAATATTGAACAAATCGCGCGAATTTTGGAAGTTTATAGCGAATTCACAATATATATATGTATATATATATATATATACATAGGGCCAGCCACAACAACAACACTTGGCATCCAAGACAGATGATCAAGTCGAGTGCACTTGTTGCTGTGTGGGCAAACCTGCGTGTACTTGCAATTGCACATGTGAATGCCACGCCGCTGACAGCGACTCCTCTGATGATGATGATGATGAAGGAGAAGAAGGGGTCAAGACGGACAGAGCCGACATCCCGCCCTCTTCTGTATGTACAACATTGGCTTCCTATCTGTGTTTCTCATGGGTGAGACAAATAGGAGGACCCACGCCCGGATGCCGACGCCATCCTCCGCGACCGCTGGGTCACTACACACCAATCAACTACACACCAATCACGCCCGGACCTGTCGACGTTTCAACTGCTGGAAGCCGTCCACGGTGCCACGCCCACCAACTCGTGGGCTGGCGGCGACCACACGTCGTTTGTGAGTGCACTAGCGGCTCTGGACAGCACCCAGCCGCTGCCCCTTCCCCCCTCCGCCCCATCCGCCGCCTCTCTTCCCCCCGACCACGTCCATGCCCTGCTGTACCAGTGTCGGCTCGTACAAAATGCGTTTGAAAGCTCCCCCGACGAACCATCTCCGGCGTTGGTATCGCTAGTACACCACGCTCTATCAGTAGAAGACCCAACCAAGGAAGATCGAGGCGCTGGAGGCGCTCAACGGCTGCCCCGCCACGGCGCCGTACTTTTCGCTCTACTTTACATCGCCATTGACGAATCTGGCTGGTATCGACACAGCGCCTTCCACGTTGGACATGGCGGCGCTTCTGTCGTCGGTGGAACGCGTGCCATGCCTTGTGGACGTCCAAGCCGCCGTGCTGTGGCAGGACCTACACCACGGCCCGTTCCCTCAGTTCTTCATGTCCAACTTCCCCCATATCCCGCTGCTGCAACTGCCCACAAAGCGATTCGTCAAGTTGGATGCCTCCATGGCCACGCTGTCCCAGCTTCAGGACACCACGTCCGCTCCGCAAGCCCACAAAGTTGCCACAAGTTATGTGTCGTTATACGTGCTATCACATGGAAGGGTCCCGTGGAGTGACCTTCCCCACGCGTTCGAGTGTGTTCTGTCCACGGTCGATCTACACGTACGCCCTTGGTTTGTGCTGCAAGTGCTGCAGTAAGTCAGTATGTCCCGGCTGTGTTTTGGAAGGTGCTGGCTCCGCCGGTTCTCTTGGCGCTGGGGAAAACAGTGTCGCATGTCCATCGCGCACTGGCCAACGCAACCACGACCAGTGTCTCAGATCGGGTGCTGTTGGGGCAGCTGGGCCAAGTACTCGAGATTTCCCCAGATCTCTTTGCCACTCTGGACAACACTCACAAGGACGACAAAGTAGAAGAAGCGATAGCCAAGCCACCATGTCCATCAGTTCCACTAAGCTTACCCGCCCCTTGCTTCCCGGTACACCCGCCAGGCAAGGACGTACCCCCGTTGAAGAGCCATCAACTGTCGGCCAACCAGCCAGCCAATCACATCTCTACCCCACACGACAAGATGGACATCAGTAGAAGACCCAACCAAGGAGATCGAGGCGCTGGAGGCGCTCAACGGCTGCCCCGCCACGGCGCCGTACTTTTCGCTCTACTTTACATCGCCATTGACGAATCTGGCTGGTATCGACACAGCGCCTTCCACG